GTGTGTGTGTGTGTGTAGTGTGTGGTGTGTGTGTGTGTGTGTGTGTGTGTGTGTGTGTGTGTGTGTGTGTGTGTGTGTGTGTGTGTGTGTGTGTGTGTGTGTGTGTGTGTGTGTGTGTGTGTGTGTGTGTGTGTGTGTGTGTGTGTGTGTGTGAGTGTGTGTGAGTGTGTGTGAGTGTGTGTGTGTGTGTGTGTGTGTGTGTGTGTGTGTGTGTGTGTGTGTGTGTGTGTGTGTGTGTGTGTGTGTGTGTGTGTGTGTGTGTGTGTGTGTGTGTGTGTGTGTGTGTGTGTGTGTGTGTGTGTGTGTGTGTGTGTGTGTGTGTGTGTGGTGTGTGTGTGTGTGTGTGTGTGTGTGTGTGTGTGTGTGTGTGTGTGTGTGTGTGTGTGTGTGTGTGTGTGTGTGTGTGTGTGTGTGTGTGTGTGTGTGTGTGTGTGTGTGTGTGTGTGTGTGTGTGTGTGTGTGTGTGTGTGTGTGTGTGTGTGTGTGTGTGTGTGTGTGTGTGTGTGTGTGTGTGTGTGTGTGTGTGTGTGTGTGTGTGTGTGTGTGTGTGTGTGTGTGTGTGTGTGTGTGTGTGTGTGTGTGTGTGTGTGTGTGTGTGTGTGTGTGTGTGTGTGTGTGTGTGTGTGTGTGTGTGTGTGTGTGTGTGTGTGTGTGTGTGTGTGTGTGTGTGTGTGTGTGTGTGTGTGTGTGTGTGTGTGTGTGTGTGTGTGTGTGTGTGTGTGTGTGTGTGTGTGTGTGTGTGTGTGTGTGTGTGTGTGTGTGTGTGTGTGTGTGTGTGTGTGTGTGTGTGTGTGTGTGTGTGTGTGTGTGTGTGTGTGTGTGTGTGTGCGCGTGTCTTTGTCTGTGTATGTTTCTGTGTCTGTGTCTGTGTCTGCGTCTGTGTCTGCGTCTGTGTCTGTGTCTGTGTCTGTGTATGTTTCTGTGTCTGTGTCTGTGTCTGTCTGTGTGTCTGTGTGTCTGTCCGTGCGTGCGTGCGTGCACGCGTGTGCGTGCGTGCGTGCATGCGTTCGTGCGTGTGTGCGTGGGTGTGTGTGTGTGTGTGTGCGTGTTGTGTTTTTGTGTTTTGTGTGTGTGTGCACGCTTTTGCTGCTTTGGCAGGAAGTTGCTGAGTAAAGGGCCTCAAAGATTCCACGGCAGTTGGCACCGCAAAGCCGCCAATTTAGGGCTACACTCGATGGCTAAGACATACGCATGATGAAAACTCGGCCAGAGTTACCGAATGCATCATGCCGCATGCCCTTCAAACCTCCGGCAAGCAGCCTCTTGCTGGCCTCTTGCAACCCAGCCGACACCAAAAGTAGAACCGGACCCGTCCTTCCGCAGCTCACGGGGCTTCAGCACGCCCTTCGACTGGGTTCGGGCCAGCGGAATTCAGAAGCCGCGAACTTGAGGACTCGCAAAGCTGGTCATCATTGGGTGTTCAAGTTCATGGACCCTGCGACTTTGACAACACTCGTCAAACTGTGTTTGAGCGTATTTTGGACCATCGTGAGGAACCCTTCGAATCCCGGCAATGCTGACATGGCCGACCATTGAGAGTGGGCCGAAGTCGCAGGTGTGATTCTACGGAACCGGAGAAAATATCTTTGAGGGAAGATCCTGTCAGGCTCCATGTCTGTTGCTGAGAAGCTCGCAAGTTTCAAGTTTGTCTGGCCAACATGGGCTCTGGGAGCTTGGCGCGCGTCTCTGCCTCATTAGCCCATGAGCTCTGTAAATCTCCCGTGCCTGCACTTTGGCCGCGTCCTCGCCCTCCGAATAGTAGCTACTGTCCTTGGCAGCATGCATGGACAGCTTGCCAGGTCTGGCCCCAGTTATCATCTAAGTCACTCTTTGTGGTAGGTCAAAGGGAAACAACCCCAGATTCTGACTTTGATGCCCCCAGAAACAGTCAAAAAAAAATGACCCCGCAGCCTGCTCGTGTCCTTCGCCCTTCCGTTGCTTGACTGTCGGGACCAAAGCGAGCTGAAACGAACTGCCAACGCCATGGCGCTAGCCCCAAACTCAGCAAAGAGGCGCGATCGCTGTACTCGCTTTCGGATTCCTGCGAAAGGCGTGCTGCGACTCCAAAACCTGTCTTGGGCGTGCACCTCATGAAACTCAAGAAAACTGTAACGCAACAAAGCCCACTGCCAACCAGGCAGAATCTTGCAAGGACACTGCATGCTCTGCTCCACCCCCGTCCTGGACCTTGGGAGCTCTATCCAGCAAGGCCCTGGCAAGAGTTTGATCACAAGGCAGTGTCAGCATTGTTCTTCCCTTCTTGGTTTCTTAGATACCCTGAGTTGACTTAAGCTCTCGACTCACGACCTCACTCACAGGAAGTTTTATTTATGTCTCTGATCAAGCCAGCTAGAGACTTGCCCAACGAATTGCGTGATATCAACTTCGGAATCATCCGGAAGACCGTTCCAATCAGGGGTGATTCCCCTCTTTGCGGGGACTTGATCTGTTGGGGATTCCTCGGATTAGTATGCTCTTCCGGATTACTGTAAGCCAAACGCATTCACTCCTTCATGCCGCCCTGCTGGCCTGGAGTTCTCATTCCCGGGAGAGCCTTGGAGCACGCGGCAGAAGCAACCAAAACGATAGAAGTGAAACAGACGTGCGTCCAAGACAACAGCTTTCTCCATAATTCTAAGACGTGTCAGGGAAAACTGACTTTAGACGGTGTGGCTGGATTGCCATACTGCGTTCCACCCACTTCGGGCCAGCCCGAAACTTTGCGAGGCTTGAGCCACTTTTCTTACTAGGTCGTAACCACCGACTTGGGCTCATTGATGCGCCCGCTGCAAAAGACGCATTTCCAGGCACCTTTTCCTGGTCTCTCCCGAAGAACACCCGGAACACCAGAAGAACTGCAAATTTCACCACAGCCAACCCTGCAACGGCATCCCCTGCCCATTTGTGACAAGCCACGAGGGCGCTCTGGCCGGTAGCCTTGCCTCAGTGCGGAGATAGGTGCAGAGCTCCGACCAGATCAATCCCTGAGCCATGCGGCAACAAAAATTGTGCGAAGAGCAACAGGACACAGCTGATGGCTCAGTTTCCTCTGACCCACTTCGAAGTCGGGAGTGTGCTTGGCAGCTTGCGGCTCACAAAACTTCCCAGGGCCGCGGTTAAAGCTCCTACACCCCAAAGCGGGGTGCCCTGGAGGAAGGTCGGCTCACCTGTTCCAAAGGATTGGAAGCTGGGTGCCCGCGGCCCCTTCTCCCGGTGCGAATTCCTGCATCGCCGACTCAGGGTTCCAGTGCCCAATTCATTCAAGGAAGACTTGAAGAGTTGTGCGTTTTTGCAGAGCTTTCCCGGGCAAAATTCAAGCAACGCTGAGTTTCAGTCTACCTTATGGCAACCAAACAACGGAAGCCGGCGTCTCACCGTGCATACTTTGCCCGTGCTGACCCATTCGCGACACCGAGGTGGTGCCAAGGCGGTGCTCGCTTCATGTCGTCTGTGCCATGGTCATGGCTCCCTTAAGCCTTCAAAGGTGGTCTAAAAACCGAAAGCTTGATGACCATTCCTACCAAGTCGAGGGGTCAACCACACATTTGGACGACAGTCCTTTCCCGGGAAGTGCTGCGGCGGGCCTGCGCACGTCATGCAAGGTCGGCCATGGAATGAGGCGAATGACTCCACTCTATGATTCATCCATTGGTCCAAACAAGTGATTCACCGACATATTTGACTCTCAACACCCTGGCATCTTGGTCTACGTGGTCAGGTAGGCTGGCATGACGGGAGCCAAGCATGACAAAGCCTGACAGCAGCTCGCCTCATCCTTCCAGTCCGCATACTCAACACCTTCAGCTCGCGACCAAGACCCAAGAGCTTTCATTCGCATCACTAAGACGAAGCCCGTATTCCAAACAGGAGCTGCAGCCTGATTCTGGAGGGAAGGCGGTTTTTGGGGTCCTCGTCCTCAACTCCTATTTGGGCCTTTCCCGCCCACCCCCAGCAAAAGCCGGCGCCAATGCAAACCCACCCGCTGGCCCATACTCGGGCACCCTGACTCCGGTGCGACCTGAGCCGGCTAGCCGCGAAGCCATCAGAAGAGACCAGGCACTGCGTTCTATTGAACATTGACGTCTCTAACACCTGGAAGCACCAAAGGCGTTCCAGAAGGCCCTCAAGCCAAGCAGTTCAAAGGTGTGACTTGTCAGGTTGCTTTGTAGATGACACCAAGAGAGATTCTCCCAAGTGATGAGCTGCAAAACGATTACTCGTCGCTGGGGTGCGTGCCCTTCGCGCTTCGGTGGCAAGGACAGCGTCACCTGGCCCAGAAAAAAATATATAGAAAAACAGCAAAAGTCTTTCCAGAATCCAGCATGCCTTGGTGCTGCCTTTCAAAGTGACGACACTCTGTGAGCTTGGTTCATAGCTGAGGGACAGCTACATTGAGCCCTAGGCAGCAATCTCAGGCGCACAATCGGTGCACCTCATTTAGATTTAAATATGGGGAAACGATGGCTTAACTCATTCTTCGTCTTAGTTAAGCTATGCTCCTTGCTCAAAAAGACATTCTGCGCAGAAGCATGTCGTTTCACGGAGGAATTGCGCAAATAATACTCGCACTAAGCCAAGATAGCTGCACCCGATTTCTGGCTGAAACTAAACAGCACGCTAGAAGCCGTGAGTAACAAGCTGCTTTCTTTCGTTCAGCGGTCTATTCCAACTTTGCTGGATTGGGATACCTGATGTGCACAAGCCTACAGCAGTCACTTCCGGAGTCATTTGCTGCGGCAACAGGCCCTTGTTTGCTGTCGTTGCGCAAGACTTGATACGTCCACAAAGTCTGGAAGACTCGCGCATCTCGATATTCTATCATGATATCCCTCCACTTGTTCAGGTGAATATGCAGCAAAGTCTCCATCTGTTTGCACTCTGAGATGTACAAGCACCGCGAATCAGCCACCCCACCATAAAATCACGGCTTGCGGCTGACCAAAGACCCAATTTGAGTGGCTACACCACCTCAGTCATAGTCAAATGTGGCATCAACAATGGTCTACCGCAGCATTCCTTGCTGGTTATCCCGTGCTGACCTTCACCTACCCGAGTTTTGATTGCGGGTAACCTTTAGCCACGGTGACAGCGCCTTGATCGGGTTGCCCCAGTCATCCGACCTGGCGAGGGGCCAAAGGGCAGTCGGACCAGGATGAAGCCCATTGCTTTATATAGGGCTCCAAGTGTGTTGGTCTTCGCGATCACCACAATTGACTCTTTTCCATCAGGGTGTCTTTCTTGAGAAACACAAGACATCTTCCAGCTCCGCGAACACCCCATTTGCATCGGAACCGCGCCTGTCCATCCTACGAATGGCGTCCTCCGCAGCTTTGGCGGTGTCGAAGCCGATGAAGCAGAAGCTGTCCTGCTCCTGAGGCTCGCAATCTTCTTTCTGGTTGAAGGGAAACCAGAAAAAAAGAAAAGAAAAAAAAAACGCCCTCTTCCGGGTCCGAACCCCATCATGCAAACGTAGCATCTATGGCTGACTATGTTGGGAAGGGTAACCAAAGCCCTCCAAAAAACAGCAGTCATTGGTCGGGATGCTGTTTCTGGTTGGTGGTGGAGGGACAGCCAAAAGGACACCAGCTCAGCACTGGTTTGGAGGTTTCTGTATCTTGTCATTTGACAAATCTTACCTGCACTCCGTGAGATGGCGCATCTAAATCTATGTCCCTCGCCTCCTTTTGCGAAAACTGCTGCGGCGTGGAGGCGTGGTCTCTGGCAGAAGTGGCTGCAAGCACAAAAGTATTTGAGAATCATCTGTTGAGCGCGCTGCCCAGGACTGGTCCTCTCTTTACCTCATCGCCTTGTCGAACTCATTTTCCGATCCTGTCGCCTCGTCTGAGGTCGCTATGAATTGCACAAACACACGTGGAGAGGCTGACCCGTTTATGTCACAGCCTCTTGCACTTTCAACCTCAAGCAGCCAAAAGCTAGACTGCTCGCCACCACGCGACAGGCGAGCACCATCAAAGCAGGGAA